ATACATATATATACATATGCATCTATATACATATATATCTATTCATATGCATCTATATACATATGCATATGCATCCATATCTATATATATCTAGCTGTCTATATATAGATATATAGAGAGAGCTATATATACACACGCATACACACACACACCCAGACAAACCAACTAGAGGCCTTACGTCTGAAGAACAACTTCCTGCCAACCTCGGATCAGAAGTGGAAGCTTGTAGCATACAGGAAGCTCACCTTCCTGGTTGTTTGTTCTCTGCACTAAACATTATCATTGTTACTTCAACTAGACTAACCTGCTTAAACTAAATGAAATGCAAAACACACTGATGATGAACAGGGCCACATTGCTGAACGATACATTTTCAGGGAAAATGAAGGAAGTATTTACTTATAATATAAATTTTGGGGATTTTTTTTTTTGGTTTTGTCTACACGATGCTCTTGTTTCTTTGCCTGCTATATATCCCTTGCTTCTCCTAGGTGGGGGGTTGCAGTTAATTTAAAAGCAGTTGGAATTTCATTTTTTTGATTGGAGACATGCAGCTCTTTACCCACCTTCTGCACCTTGCATGCCCCACCTTGCTCAAACAAGGCTGTGTCTTTTAAAGACAGAATAGTTTAAATAAAGGGAGCATCAGGGTAAAGGCTGTGTTTCAGGACAGGGTGGCGATGCCCAGAACTGCTGCCGCCATGCAGGTGGGTGGATGAGCAGGGTGACATTGCAGCCTTCTCCAGCCTTGGTGTTATTCAGACATAAGCTTTGAAAAGAAACCAGCAGCACTCAATCAAGTGCTTGCAATAGGGAAAATAAATGGCTAAGGGATAAATGCTGAAGGAAGAAACCCAAAGCTGCTTCCCAGGACAAGAAGCCTGGCTGCAATCCCAGGGCTTTGGAGCTTTTAAATGGTTGGCAGCTCCCAGAGGGAAGAAGTCAGGCTGAAAGGCAAGAGTCTGGATGCTCATGTAACCAGGAGGCTTTGAATCATTGTAGGAGGAGACTGAAACTGGAGACTGACACTCACTTTACTCGGCAGACTCAAAGGGGTGCTCTTGGCTGCGCTCTTTCTTGATCCAACTCAAGCTCTTGGGTCAGCAAAGAAGGCAGCCTTTGGGAAAACCGCATGGCTTTCCATAATGGGGCCAGAGTTTGCTGTCCTTACTCAGGGCAAAGAGGATGACAGTTTGCCCTGAGCAAAACAGTGATCAAATCCTCTGTATGAAAAAAAAAAAAGAGAGAGAACTCTCCTCTTCACTCCCCCCTCCATTCAGATGCAACGGTCGCATCATGCAATGATAAGAGCCAGTCCAAAAAATGTAGGCAATAAAGAAATTTGGATGAAAAGCAGAACCACATATTTTTTGTGGTCCAAATAGTCTTTTCTCCCTTTATCTGACCAATATAAATAATGATATGGAGGACAATGAACTAGGCTCCTTCCAGTGTTATAAGGAAATCCATCCTTGGCATAGCCCTGCTGACTGCAGTCGAGTTAAACCAGGGATGCATTCAACTTGACAGACAAATCTTGCAGCCCGGAGCCAAAACTCCTTTTAGCATCAATGGGAGTTTTGCTTGAGGCAGGACAGCAGGAGAAGGCCTGCTGTAGTCTCAGAGGGCATCAGGTGTTTTTTCTCTGTGGACGCAAGTACCTTGAGAAGAGTCACGCGTGGAAACCGTTTGGGGCATACAGTATGTCTGTTGAGCCTAGGACTTGACTCTTTCACAAACTTTCTCACTCTTTATGTAAGGAAGTACCATTATAAAAACACGATCATACAGCAAAGGAAATTGCAATTATTGTGCTGTGCTAGGCAGTCAAGGAACTGAAAGGCAACCCCCCCCATCCTCACCCCCCCGACATATTTTCCAGCAAAGACTCTTGTTTTCCAACATCTCTGAGTCCTCAGCAAACAACAGTGTGCCAGCCTCCCAAATCAAGTCAAGGCTATTCCAAACCAGCGTGAGCAAATGTTTCACTGTATTCAGACAAAAGTTGACGACTTAAAGATTCGTGCATGTTCACCATGGCGGATGAGTACAACTTGCAAAAATTCAAGTATTCATTAGCAATCTGCTTGGCTTAGAAATGGTTTCTTTGACCTTTAGTTTCAAGTTTCCATAGATATCAAGGAAGGGGGGGAAGGGTCACGTGTTGTGGCAGGAAAACTCCAAACCCTGAATATTGCAAACAGTGTGAGGAAAAGCATTAATACACCTGACCAAGAAAGCAAAGCTTTCACATTACACAGAGCCATTGTCTTTATGTGTTGCTTTTAAGGAAAGAGCAGATTTAAGGCAGCTTTCTACAAAGACATGCCTAATTCTGCTTTCCTTTAGCGAGCGGTAAAATACCCCTTTCACTTCCCATTCCCGGTAAGCAAACAAACCCAGCAATAATAATAATAATAATAATAATAATAATAATAATAATAATAATAATAATACTTTGCACTCATAGCACCCTTCATCTAAGGGCTTGACACGCATTAACTTAAGCCTCACAACACCCCTGTGAGGTAGGTAAGTATTATTATACCCATTTACAGATGGGTAGACTGTAGGCACAGAAAGGTTAAATCACTTGCCTAGGGTTCTGCAGCGACGTGGGGCAGAGCTGGGAGTGAAACCCAGGTGTCCCGTCACCCAGCAATCTGCGACAACCTTGAGACCGTGATCTCAGTCATCTCGAGTCTTACCAGACCATCTAACAGACCCAGCGCTCCTTACATCCAAAGAACTGGGCATATTGCTAAGTCCCTCACTTGTCCAGACTTGTTACCTTGCTGCATGTGTCCCAAAGGGATGAGAAAGGTGAGCTTTTACCGGTGGTTCCCAAATGGTCTCTGGCTGTGACCCCCCTTCTCAGTCCAGTCATTTCAGGTGAGCCCGTACACATACAGTTGCGTGCCTGAAATGATCGGGGCGCGGGGACTCACTGCATCTCGGCTGGTCTGAGACAACTTCCGCTCTTACCCCGGGATGAGCGCTAAACGAGGGCAGCTGATCGTTGAACGGCTGTGTTGAGTTGCCCTGGTTTAGAGCAGACACTTAGCAGAGCAGAGGAGGTGCAGGGAAGCTCTACCCTCTATTCATTAAGGGCACCTGGGGTTAATGCTTAGGGGCCCCTTTGAGGTTTACAATCTTGCTTATCACTGCTCTGACCCCAGAAAGGGTCACAACCCCTCATTTGGGAACGGCTGGTTGATACTCTCAGATCGTTTCTGACTGCTTGCCCTTGCTTAATGTATTCCAGGGCACATGCCCTTGTTTAACAAAACCAAACACATGGCTTTCATCAACTCGATCGTTTGGGTTTTATTGCAGCTTCCAACCGGGCGGTGCATGTTCAGGTCCAGATCACCTGCCCAGCGGTCTTTTTTCACCCCCTGTATTGCCCAACTCATCGTATACAAAGATCCAATGGGAACAGATGCAGCTATTTCATTTGTCTAGAGCTGGTTTGCTTCACGTGAGCCCAAACCGGTCCAGTGCTCAGCCCTGAATTCATGAATGCGGACTGAGCACAGACAGCATCGGGCTCTGTATAGTACCTCTCCATTTCCCACCCAACAGAAAAGAGTTCCCGTGTCGGTATTTCCAAGTGCAAACACAGCCGAACAATGAGACAATTCTGGAGGCAGGCGCTCATGAAGAAATTACAACAATCGCTAGTGGTACCCGATGGTCTGGAAATGCATTCTGCACACAGTGAAAACTTTGCCCACGTCTATTTGGGATAGCCTCTGGTCCCCTCATTCAAACTGGCTGAGAGTCTCTGCACCAGAATACACCTGAGCACCACAGGGGGAAAAGAAAAGTAATAAAACACCAGCACAATCAGAACCCTGGGTTACTACCATCCCCAGGAAACTCCAGGGCTATGGATAATTGGTGAAATAAATGCTTGCAACCTGCAGCAACAGAAAGGTTTGCAGGTGAATTTGTACCCTTTCTACCATGACCGAAAATATCTAAAGCCCGCTGTCCTGGCTTATCTATGATTTTGGGGATCAAATTTGACTAGAGCAGAGCCTAGTGCAAAGCTCACCCGATACAAGAACAGGTATCAGTGAAAAGCCTGGCTCCGCTGTTTTCCACTGACCCTGGCAGCTTCCAAATTGTCTCCTGCAAGAGCCGCACAGCAAGCAGGCACGAGAAGGTTTTGCAGATGTAACAGTAGCACGTTTCCCTTTTCAAAGCACGTCTGAGCTTCAATTACAATGCACCAGGAAAACCTCAGACCACATTTTCCAGACGGGGTGGATCATGCTGCACAAATGGAGGGGACAGCTGTTTCATGTATGTCAGGAAACATGGATGCAGCTGTGAAGTGAATCTCATGCTTTCAAAATCCCCTAACCAAAGAGCATGGGCATGCTGCTGTTGAAGTCAATGGGCAGATGCTTCTTCTCACTGTGGAAAGCACGCCTTTATGAACACGCCCGGCACAGCCCCAAAGTGAATATTTTTGTGCTATTTCGCCTCGTTTTTCAAAATAAAAATGTTTGCTAACTCCTTCAGGAAAGGGCAGAAGAATGGACATGGACAAGTGGCACCAATCCAGTAAATTGTAAAAAAACACGCCAACCCCC